AAGAGTTTTTGCAAATACTTCACCACCCATCTCTTCTGACTTTTATATATTCTGAACACATCTACTCATCCCTCCATATTATATCTTCAGCTGTACTGAATTTAGTTGAATGTCACATTTTAAGACATGAACTATCCCTGTCCTAATATCCTGAATTTAGTCAACCTGGTATCATTGAAATGAAGTTCCACAGGAGCAAAAAAAAAACTTCTTATTTTGCATAAGGAACATTCTTCTCCTCTCTGATTGCTCTAACACAGAATAACTGACCAACTCTGCAACCAGCAATAACTGTGTACAAGAGAAATTAATTTCAGTTCTCTAGTGAAAAAAAATTGTCTTTTTTAGGGGTCATTAGATCACCTGAGAGTTTATGTGTTCAAATATTAATTCTCGGAAGCAGGTAGATTTTAGGATGTACTTTTCACAGTGTAATGTATTCCCATTTTTCTTCAGAGATATCTAGGCTTGTGATTGTTTTTCTTGCTCAGCAGCCAGAACATTCGTTTCAGCAGCACCACATTCATACAAAAAATAAGATGGAACCTTTTTGTATTTCATTTCCTTACAGCTTTCACTGCAGTGATTTACTAAGAGGAAAGACTAACAGGTAATAGCTGGTGCTCACAGTGGAGGCAGGAAGACTCATACTAGGTAGTATCTCTTTTTCTTTAATGTGTTTTTTGCCATCATGCGGGTGCGCATGTTATGAGCAGTTCAACAGCAACAGAAATCACATTTGCTTCAGACATTACTGGCAAAGCTTTAGCTTGCCCAGCAACAGACTGGTAAATGGGTAAAAGGTATCACCAGCAGTCTGCTTGTAACTGAACTCTGCAGGTTGTATTCATTGAAACTGTTTGCAAATACAATCAGAGGATGTCTTTTTCAAATGGTAAAAATTAGAGGAAAATCATAGTCACAAGTGATGCATATTGTATACAAAATATAACAACTTTCAACTGCATGTTAAGGACAGCTCCCTACAAAGGGAAGTCAAAGCAAGGTAGGGCTACGCGCAGAGGGCTGGGTTGAATTGGGTAGGGGAAATATCGGGGGAAACTGGTTTCCTCAAAAAAAAAAAAAAAAAAAAAACAGAAAAACAGCTTTTCATTTTTAAAGGGAAACAAGTAAATGGCCCAAATCAAGACAGCTATAACACTTCTCCCTTAGTAAATGGGCACTGTGTGAAAAAACATCCTCTGAGGTCAGGGCAAGCCCAGGAAAACCCAAATAATTGGCAGGTTCACAGCCTGTTGACACACACAGACCAGGGCATTAGGACAAAGATTTTTCAAAAGTTAGTTATATTTAAGCTTCTGGTATTGTACAAAACAGAATCAATCAAGATCTTTACCCCAGGGATCTTGTCTAAACGTGTGATAAAAGAAGATATGGTTTCCAAAGAGAATGCAGAAAGCTTCTGACTGCAAGGACCTTGGCTACTGGCAAAGTTCCAGACTGAAAACTGCCTGGTACAAATAGAGCATAGAGCACAAGTAGGTCTAGGGAGAGGAGCTTAATACTTTTATTTGCTGCCAGTGATTCCTGACTAACTCATGACCCATCTCCAGCATTCAGAATCTGACAAATGCTACTAAGTTTTGCATGCAGATTTTATGTAAATTTAATCACATATATTTCACCTATACTTAATGATGCCTTTTTCCCTTTTTTTTTTTAATCTTCCAAAACTGTAAAGAAAGACTATGTTTCTGTACATGGAACAGATTGTTACAATCAGAGGAAGCTCCATTATCAAGTAACAGACCCTGTTGTTTTCAGTCTACTTTATTTTTTAACTTTACCTCTGGATAGCTTATTTTGACATGAAGAGTAAGACATTCCTTCCAATGTATGCAGACAAACTGCCATTTAATTCTTACATATATCATGTAAAATCTCCATTAATAAAACTCACTTGTTTATCAGGCAAAATCAGAGCCACACAAGATGAACAGGCTCCCCAAGACACATGCTTCTACATGTTCCTCAGCTATCTCTCCATTCATTTTCAAATATATTCATGATACTGAGATGTAGTATTAACTACAGGATACCTTATTTATGCTTAACCTGACTGATGACTTTTGAACACAGCTATGTTTGACCATGCTCACCTGATTTTGAGACAAAATTTATTCCACTAATGAACAGAAGCTATACTGCATTGAATAAGTCAAAACATATCTTGTCGCCTGGGTAGAATGACACAGGTTAGCAAAACTGGGAAAATGCTAAAAGATACTGAACACTGTATAATGTCATTATTTTACAGAAGTAGAAAGTGGTATTAAAGAAATACAGAGAGAAAAGGAAATACACCATAAACAAAGCAGAAGTAGTTTTGTGACCTGCAGAGTTCACAGCCACAGGCCTTCTGAGATTCTGAGGATAACTATTTCTGAGTATCCCCTAAAATATTAACTGATCTCAAGCTTTGAAAGAGTTCCAGCTTTCTTCCTCCCCCAGTTCCCACTGAAATCCCTCTCCCCAAATACTCTTCCCGTTATACACACTTGCCACCCATAGCTATCTCTTTAGGAAAACAAATCCTGGGCACCATTCTGCACCTAACAGGACTCCAGACTTGGTTGTTATGAATGCTGAGCCCGCCAAAGCAAAGACTAAGAAACTAATAATGAACAGAGCTACACTGCTAGAATTATCAGAATGTTCCCAACGCTATTCCACAAATGGGCATGTAAAGCACAATCACTTATTCCAGACAGGAGCAGTCTGGAAGCGTCCCACGGATTCTGGATCACACAGGAAGATAAGTCACTGAGGCTCAGCCTTCAGCGCTGGTAGTAGGGATACTAGATAGCAAAGTCAGCCTTGAAAACAGGGGAAAAAAAGATTTCCACCCTTCCGTGCAGAAGTATAGAGAGAATTTTGGCTCAGGCTTGGCCAATCTGAAAGACTAGTGTTCACAACAGGGTATTGGTCAGATCTAGTCTGGAAGGACTAAGTATCAATGGAAAATACTATAGAGAATTTCAGGAGAAACATTATTTCTGAGGAAGGAAGAAAATGTAAATAAGAAAACATTGCTTAATATCTCCTCCTTATTACTTTTCTCTTAAAGGTGGTAAAATGCCTTTAAGTATTTTTATCATAGCTAAAACACAGATAATTATTACAGAGCCCTCTTGATGTATTATTTCTTTGGACTTCTGTAAAGGCAGAGTGTTTTCTTTCATTAACAGAAAATGACTCAGGAAGGAACTATAATTACAACAGGAAAAAAAAACACACACAAAAAAACAAAAAAGCCCACCACATTCCTCTCTGACCTTATGTTCTCTGCACCAAAAATATATGTGCAAGAAGTCTATCCCTGCCACAGAAAATAAATTTTTAAATAAGTTTTTTTCCATTATCTCAAAGTGAATTAAACAGTAATAGCAATACTGTTGTGTCGTCTTAATGTCCATTCTGAGTATAATTCACATGAGTTATGTGCAGGTAGTGATCAAAGCCAGGATTCAGTGTAAGATGTAGCCAATTTAGTTTTAAAACATTTAATTTACTGAAATTGTCCGGGTCCAATTAGAATAGATTCTTACTCTAGCTATACAGGTTTAAGCTTATAACGCTATTAACTTTCTCTAAACAGCTTCAGATTTAAACCCATATAAATAAGACCAGAACATAAAATATAGAAACTAAGTATCCAAGTCAATAAGAAGATAAACCAAGATAGTAACTCTCTGAACAGTCTTCACAGGCTACCTGAGTTGTAAAGATCTATTGCTATTGATTTGCAGAGACAACAGATTAAAAAAAGACAAAGTATTAATGGGAAGCAGGCATGACAGTATAAAAAAGATCTTCTGCAAAGTGGACCTTTAATCATGCTTGATCATCTCCTCAATACAGATATGCACTAAAAATATACTTCTATTCAGGCAAACTTCCATTAAACAGCATATATGTTTTATAAACATGAAGTATCCTTGGTTCAGATGTTTCCCGAAACCACTGCTCTTTCATCATTTCCAAATATATCCAAAAATTTCATACACATCACAGACATTTGGTTAACATGGGGACTACCTTAGTAGGCACCATAATTTTTTTAAACTTACAATTGATTCACTAGTATGAAGAGAGGTTTTTTTGTTTGTTTGTTTTTTAACAAGAAGCTGCCTCTGTACAAAATGAATCCAATGACAAAAGTTAGAATTTAGATGTGGATACCAGAAGTGGCCAAGACACGATACAAAGTATCGCTTCGATGTCTCACTGTGTGCGTATCCTGGATGTGCATGAGGACAAACTTTAGGTTTCTTAGGCAGAGAGCTGGCATTTCTTTTTTGAGCAACTGTCTTCACAACCTAGCAGCTTATTTTAATGCTACAACTTCCCTTCAGAAAAGGTATTAAGGATAGTGCACATGCCAAATAGCTCAAAGTCTAGGAAATATAAAAGGACATTAGTTGTCCACACACTAATCTGAAAGAAAAGAAAAGAAAAAAAAAAAGTAAAAAACCCATCTCTCCCTATATACATGTTAAATATCAGTGGAGGTGCCCCCATGAAATCCCTCTTCTGGCTCTTACATCAACATACACCCAATATGATAAGTCACGCTCTTGTCTCCTTGCATTGCACTGACAGCACAGATTTCTATCTCTAGCTGCTGCTTAGTGTCATTCCTGATGAAATATGAGAACTGGTGAACTCGACAGGAGGAAGCAGTGGTGAAATGTATATATCCAATACTCCATTAAAAAATAAATAAAACAGTTGTTGCATGCAACTCCTCTTTCCACTTCCAGCAGTTACCTGTATTTCTATCTTCCTTAGGCACATGAACGGTGGAAACAGAGTGAGAACGGCACACTCCTGCCTTGCTGAATACAATATTAAAACCAATGGCTTAATGCCAGTTCAGGTCTCTAAACACATGCAGAGCGTGCCGCATGGAGCCGTTCTACAGATGCTAAATACTTCAAGGAAGAAGAGATGTGGGTGCTACATCCATCACCACTCCCTTATAGTGCACAAACGCAGGGGTCCACTTTACCCTTTGGGAAGGCAGCAGCCCTCCCGCTTGAGCCAGCCACGGGGCACACGGCCGCGCACGGCAGCAACGGCCTCTCGCTGCCACACGGCCCTCGGCGCTGCGTGTCGGGCAAGGGCACTTCCACCGCTCCCGAGTTCCCAGGCTCGCAGCAGCTGACAGCATGGCTGGTCCTTGCTTTTCCCTAAAGTGGGAATCTCAAGTTCATGGAGAAGTGAATGGAATATATACAAAAGTGCCTGCAGT